CTTCGCTCTCAGACTGCAGGTTTACTTGTGGTTCCTAGAATTTACAAAAACAGAATGGGAGGCAGATCTTTCAGTTATCAGGCTCCTCTCTTGTGGAACCAACTTCCAGTCTCTGTCCGTGAGGCTGACACATTGTCCAGTTTTAAAACTAGGCTTAAGACTTTCCTTTTTGCTAAATCCTATAGTTAGGGTCGGCTTGGGTTTCCTGAGCTGTCCCTTAGTTATGCTGCTATAGGCTTAGACTGCTGGAGGACAAACTGACCACACTTTTCACTCTACTTCTGTCTTTACTTACTCTGCTCAAACTGTTTTGTATTTGTAATTATTTTTTCTATCCTTAACATGTGTTTTTTTGTCTTTCAGATACACCTGGACCTATACCTGGACCTGGACCTATACCTGGACCTACCAATCTGTGTTTGTCTGTCTCTCCTTCCTGTCTTCTCAAACCAGCCGGTCAAAGCAGATGGCCGCTTGTCCTGAACCTGGTTCTGCTGGAGGTTTCTTCCTTTTAAAAGGGAGTTTTTCTTTCCACTGTCTCCACTGTGCTTGCTTAGGATGGGAGACTGCAACGAAGCCAAGATTCATCTTGTCTGCTGGATTCCTTAGATAGAGAACTTTAGTAACTGGCTTTTATGTGAATGTTCCTGTAAAGTGCCCTGAGACAACTTTGTTGTGATTTGGCGCTATATAAATAAACTGAATTGAATTGAATTGACCGAAAGAACAAGATCACGGACACAAGCGACTGAAATTAGTTTTCTCCGCAGGGTGTCTGAGATAAGGTGAGAATCTCTCTCATCCAGGAGGGACTCAGAGTAGAGCCGCTGCTTTTCCACAGCGAGAGTAGCCAGTTGAGGTGACTCAGGCATATGGTTGGAATGCCTCCTGGACTCCTCCCTGGTGAGGTATCCCGGACACGTCCCACCGGGAGGAGGCCCAGAGGGAGACCCAGGACATGCAGGAGGGATTATGTTTCTTGGCTGGCCTGGGAACACCTCGGGATTCCTCTGGAGGAGCTGACCCAAATGGCTGGGGAGAGAGAAGTCTGGGCCTCCCTACTTAGGCTTATACCCCTGCGACCCGACCCCAGATAAGCGGAAGAAAATTGATGGATGGATGGATGAACACCCTAAGTCTGTATGTGTGTGTGTGTGTGTGTTTTTCTAACCTCAGATGTATAGATTCTTCCTGGTAGCTGCTGAAGTCTCTGTGTGCAGTTTGTTGCAGCTCATCAGCCTTCAGCCTCAGAACCTGTAGACATTACAATTATTTTATAACTAAATGTGTTTAATCAAACAGATTACTGTAATTGCCGGTCTGTAGAGCACACCTGAATATAAGCCGCACACACACACACACAAAAAAATAATAATAATAATTTTGTACATATAAGCCATGCTTGTGTATAAGCTGCAGGTGTTCATGTTGTAACAAGAGTGGCAGCACAGCTACTGGAAGATGTGCAGCTCGTTGTAGATCAAGAATATGCAAACATCGGGGAGTGGTGGCGCAGAGGTTAGAGAGGTGGGCTTGTGATCCGAAGATCGCCGGTTCACGCCCCGGCCCTGACAACATCAAAATTGTGGGTGGGGTAGGTGAAACACCCACACTTGCCCCCACCCTCATTCGCCCCACTCTGGACCCATGAGCAAGGCCCTTAACCCCACCATGTGCTCCCTAAACAGGTCTCTCTTGAAAATGAGTTCTCGTGGCTCAATGAGACTACCTGTATAAATAAAGGCTAAATGAAAAATGAAAAAAAAAAATGAAGTTTTATAGACTTTATCTTCCTGTTCAACACACAGACAGAGTGAAACCCACAGGTCTTCAAGACAACTACTCTCACTAATGGTTACTCTACTGGGGCGGCTGTGGCTGAGTGGTTAGAGCAGTTGTCCTCCAATGCAAGAGTTGGGGGTTCAAATCCACCAGCAGTCACATGCCGAAGTGTCCCTGGGTAAAACACTGAACCCCTCATAGCCTCTGATGTGTGTCCCATCAGTGAATGAATGTGATAAAGCACGGATTAGTCTCTTTAAAAGATTGATTTGTTCAATTAGCTTTGTAGAGATGTAGTAGAGTGCTGTATGAATAGGTAAATGAGGACACAGATTGTTGTGTAACGTGTTTTGAGTGTCTTCATAAGATAGAAAGGCGCTATATAAGTACAGTCCATTTAATGAATGGCCTAACACAAACTAACACATAACGAACACAAACTAACACATAATGAACATAAACTAACACATAATGAACA